TTTGCCATTTTTTGGTTTTCTTTTTGTGATTTTATTCCTTGCTTTATTTTTTTAATATTTATTTATTTATACAAGAACTGGGGTACAGGCCAGATGCATAGGAGGGTGAGAGGATTCACCAGAGACAGTGGGGAACAGAACAGGCAGACTGATGAAATACACTGCTGAAGGGAGCAGTGGGTGAGACAGGAGAGGTCTGCTGCACCATGTGGGATTCTCGCTGGCAGGCCAGGATGGAACCAGTGCTGCAGAGGCTGCGGACAGCTTCACAATGCAGTGCTCAACCACCTGCGCCACCAGGGAGACCCTTATTCCTTGCTTTATTCTGTTCTTCTTGTTCATTATTCTGTTGGTTGTGGCATTAGGACTTCTTGTAGAATCTTTTGGAGTGGGGGTTTAGTTGTAATGAATTTCTGGAGTTTCTGTTTGTCTGAAAAGGTCCATATTTTTTCTTTGTAGAGGAAGGAGAACTTTGCAGGGTAAAGTATTCTTGGTTGGCATTTGCTGTGTTGAAGTTTGCTGATTATGTTGCTCTATTCTCTTTTTGCCCATAATGTTTCTTTGGAGAAGTCTTAAGTAAACCTTATTGGTTTTCCCTTATAAGTTATCTGTTTCTTCCCCCTTGCCAGTTTCATTATTTTTTCCTTGTCTTGGATTCTTGCAAGCTTCACTATTATGTGTCCTGCTTTAGTTTTCTTTTCATTATGGTAATTGGGAGTTCTTCTCACTTCTTGTATGTCTGTAGTGATCTCCTTTTTTATGCTTGGGAAGTTTTCTTCAATTATCTCCTTGAATAATTTCTCAGTTCCTTTGTCTCTCTCCTCACCTTCTGGAATACCTATAACTCTTACATTTCCTCTCTTCATGGAGTCTGATAATTGTCTAAGAGTCTCCTCATACTGCTTCATTTGCACTTCTCTCTCCTTTTCTCTTCGGCTCATTTTATTTCTGTATCTTTGATAGTACTGATCCGTTCTTCCATTTCATCAATTCTGCTTTTCCTAGAGTTCTTTATCTTCTCTACTAATCTATCAATCTCCTGCATTTCTTCTTTCCTTTCTTAAGGTCTCAATTTCATTCTTCAGTTCAGTGATTATTTGTCTCAGATCATTTTTTCCCTTTTCATTTTCTTTCTGCTTTTTAATCATGATGATCATTAATTCTCTATCTGATGGGCTGACAAGTACTTCCATGTCATTGTTGAGCTCTGGTGACTGCATTTCTTTTTGTGGTGTGTCCTTCTCCTGAGGGCTTGTTTGGTTATTTAAATTTTTCTTCTCCCTGTTGTTTGCTTTCTAATTAATTCTATGGGTTGGGACATTGTGCCACTGGTGTTGGCAGGCATCTCTTTGGAGTGCTGCTTTAGGGGTGTTCGAAACTGTTTACCAGACTGAGATCAGCACTGGTAGGCCAAAACTCCACCAGGGTATTGATGCTGTGTTAATGGGCACTGTCCCTTACAGTTCCCTTCCTCTGTGTTACTCAGTTCCAACAGGGAATCAGCTAGTTGGTGATTCTGTTCTGGTCACGAGGTGGCGCCAGAGACCGTACTTGCTGACCTGTGCTTTTTTCCTGTGGTTGTCTGAGTAAGGGAGAGGAGAGTGCAAGGGATCACCTCAACACAGGGGCTCTTATTCAAGCTTGGTGCTGTGTCTGTCCCGTGTTCACCGGGCGCTGTGCCCACAGCTGTATATTCTGCGCCCTGAATTCTGCATTCTAGGTCTCAGTTCCAGGGCTATCAGATCCAAAACGCTGGCTGTCACCCTGTGCAGTGCCCGCTGCTATGGCGCATCCTACATCCAGGATCCTGCGCCTGGCTCTCAGTTCCAGGATGGATCTTACTCCATGCCTTATTTCCCTCCTTACCCCTCTTTTGTGTGACCCACCCTCTTTCACAGCCTGAGGGTGTTTTGGGATCCCTGGTTTCCAATTATCAGGATTTGGTCATTTTCTTCCTGTTCACTAGGTGGCGCCAGATATATGTATTAGGGTCCTTCCAGAACTGTTTTTTTTTTTTCCTTGTGGGTCGGGGGAACAGAGTGGGAGTGGCATGGAGTGCCTCAACGGCGTGGGGGGGTGCTGTGTCTGCCCTGTGGGGATCCCATGCCCTGAATTTCGTTGCCCCGGGTCTCAGTTCCAAAGCCCTCAGATCCAGGACGTGGGCGGTAGCCCAGTTCTGTGTCTGCAGAAATGGCACCTTTTGCACCCTGCTCCCAAGTCCAGGCACCTGGTTTCTGATTACTCAGTGACGGACATTCACCTCAGTAAGAACTCCCACGCTCTCCCTGCAAGCCTAGGTCACAGGCATGGGTACCTGGGCAGCCAGCCAAGATCCATGATCCAAATATGATTTTCAAGTGAGCTGCTTTTCTGCACAAGCTTACCGGCTGGCCTTAGACTATTTGAAGGTCTCAGGGAGTCTTTGTTCTCCTCTAATGGCGCCTGGAGCCATTTGCTCACCTCTGCAGTGATTCCTGCATGGTTCTCCACTTTTCCAGTACACAGGGTGCAGTGCCTGAAATGGTTCCTTTCCACTCACAGTCCCACTTGATGCGTAGTTTGTTCTTTTGGTTGTTTTAGTTTTTTTTTCATTGTTGTTGTTGTTGTTTTTCTTCCTTTCTGTTGGTCAGACAGTGCTGACTTTGTGGGAAGGGGAAGGTAGCAGGGTTCTGGGCTTCCCTCCCTTCTAGTCTTCTTTTATGGCAACTTTCTTCTTCAAGCAGTTTGCCAGAGTTGCCTGATTATCTCCTGTGTCCCAGTTCTCGCAGTTCTCACTTTTCCTCCCTATTCACTTTTTTTTTTTTTAAATGGGAGGTCTTACTTGCAGCATTTCCCTGCTGCCATGTTGATTCCATTTCCAAGATAAGCATTTTCATGGTCAAAACCTTAGTACCTGGGCCTCCCTGGTGGCGCAGCAGTTGAGCGCTAGGTTGTGAAGCTGCCCGCAGCCTCTGCAGTGCCGGTTCGATCCCTGGCTGCTCCCTGGCCACTGGAGGAGGGTCCCACATGGTGTGCAGACCTCTCCTGCCGCCCGCTGCTCCCCTCAGCAGTGTACTTCGGTCCTTCTGCCTGCTCTGCTCCCTGCTCTGGCTCTGGTGAATTCTCTCACCCTCCCGCGCTTCTGACTACCCAGTGCTTGTATAAATAAATAAATAAATCTTTAAAAAAAACAAAACAAACACACACACAAAAAAAAAAAACCACCTTAGTACCAACCTGCCAGGCTTCCCAGGACAGGAGCTGCCCAAGGGCTGCACAGGGTGAGGAGAGGGGGTGTAGGGTCTCATTAGGTTTGATTTCAGGCTTCTTGTCTCTAAGAAGCATAGTGCATAGTGCTGGGGACAGGGAGGGTGTAAAAATCTCTGGGTACAATAAGCCCTGATTAGATGGAATATGCAGAATGAGAGTAACTCCCTATATTCTGGGGTTGAAGAGTTTTCAGTTCAATCCCTGGCTCTTCTGCTAATGAGCTAGCTGTGTGAACTTGAGTAAGAGCTCACATAGCTTCTTACTAATACTCAGTCTCCTCATCTATAGCATGAGGAGCCACATTAATTGCTGAGTATTCTGAAATTACTCTGCATAGACACTCAAAAATTCTAGCTATTATTCTTATTTTCACTCAATCAGAAACCAGTAACTGTCAGCCCATGATGTACCTCCACTGCCCTGGAAAGAGAGCTGTTCTCCCAGTGGTCCTAGATACAAATGTACCCATGGACTCAGCTCTAAAACCAATGATCCAGACTGGGGTTGGCAGAGTGTGGACTTTGACTAACTTTTGTGATCTGAGGGCTAACAATATTGTTACATGTATAAATGGTTGAAGAAGAAATCAAAAGAAGAAAAATGTTTTGAGATATAAAATTATATAAAGTTTAAATTTCAGTGTCCTTGGTAGAGTTTTCTGGGAATACCCATCCCTGCTGTGTGCATCTTATCTGTGGCTGCTGCCTGCTACAAAGACAGGGAATTGTAGGTATGACAGGCCCCTGTGACTTGTACCATCTGTGGTGTTTATCACCAGGCCCTGCACAGAGATCTTGCTAGAACCAAGATGCTCAGAACAGTGTTGACTTCTCAGGATAAAGCAGGAGAGCTGGCCCTCAGCCAGTGTAGCTGAGAGGGAGAAGGGTCCTGACAGAGATGCCAGCATTGTGTTCTCAGGAGGCAATTCACATTTTTAAAACATAAGCAGTATACCAATGAGAAGGACCTTCTCTGCCATCCCTATTTGCCACATCCCTTCTTTCCATATTGCCCTCCAGCCCTCACCTGAGATCTATAAGAATCAGTAATGGGCTAATCTACAGGGCAAGATGGCAGTCTCTGAAACACCATGAAATTTAAGGCCTCAGTAGGCACATTACCTCAGTTGGACTCAGCTTCCTGATCTGTAAAACCCTAAATGCTATGAAATTGCTGAATTTTGTTAAAGAAAAAGCAGATGAATATTGGAAGGCTCATATGGTTTAACCCAGCAGATTACATGTCTTTAAAGTCAATCTGGGGTTCATGATTTCAAATTCTAAGATGTTAGGAAGTTCTCTCTGCCTGCATATTCTATGCAAGTGTCCTTTAGTCTTCTCTCCCCCTTTTAATAATAAACTTGCCCTAAAAATAAAGTAAAATAAAATAAAGCTCTAAGCCATCAGATATGCTGAGGTTTCAAGAAAAGGTGGTCACTGGGTGGTCACACTGGCCCAGGAGACTCAGTCCAGGATTCCCACAAGATTGAGGGGACACAGTACCTAAATAATCGATTTTATCTGTCAAATTTCTGGATGAATCCTTTGTAAATCTGAAATTCAGGACCCACGTGGCTTCAGGACATGAAATATGCTCATGTTCATTCTCTAATCCTTTTTATCCTACACTCACTATCCAAGCTCAGAAAATAAGTAGATGTGAATGGTGAGGGCTGTCTTCTGAAAACCCCCATGTTCTTATTCTCTATACCTAAGAGACCAACCTGCACCAACCCCCTTCTCCCTCCTTACCTCTCCCTGGGCAGTGGTTTGGGTTCAGGGCAGATGGCAGCCATCGATAGAGGTGCTTGCCTGGAAGTGGATGAGAAGTTAAGATCCAGGGAGCCAGCCTTTCTGTGTAGGGGCTCCAGCCCCATTGCGCCCTGCATCTCGCTCTCTATGGGGCAGGACCCTGCCCTGCCATGGATGGAGAGTGAGGACACTTCAGGTCCCACTGCACCCTGGAGAGAGGCATCCACTGCCATCTGGGTGTCATGGGTTGGAGAAATGGATGGAGGAGAGCGAGACTTCTTTTTGGCAGATGCCCCAGCTAGCAGTTTTAGTAGCCCGCTCTTCTTCTCTTTCTGGAGAAACACAAAACAAAATCAAATGGGTTAGTGCTTCTAAATATCCTTGTTTTTAATAAAGTGGCTGAATGATCCTACTTGTAAACTTCAAAAATCTCATAAAACTGGTTAGAGGAAGAAAACGAAGCTAAGAACAAAAGCTTTTCCAATTCTTGTTTTCCTTCATTCTCCAAACCTGGCAGAAGTACCCATAACAAACCCGAGCCCAGGACATCCCTGGGGCAGGTCAGGTGGTACCTCTATGAGGAGAGGATGCTGGGTAGGGGGCAGTTACCAACAACATGGCTAACCTCACATTGCAGGACTGCATCCCAGCCTACTGACTTTATTTGCTCTGTCAGAGGAGCCAGTAGTCAGCTTAATTTGCTGTCAATTATTTACATTAGGCTTCCTAAGATTAGCTCCCCCAATCCCTGGGTTTCTAGGCCAAAGCACATGTATCCTGCACACAGTTTCATTTGGAACCCCCGGGCAGCACTATTCCACATGTATTCCTTGGGAAATTCATTTGCAGATCAGGGAGGGGTGCTTGTCCCAAAGCTGAGGGTATGAATTCCCTCACTAGGAAATATCCTGGCAAACTTCTTCACTCTGCAAACACGCGACTAACCTACCTAACTTAAGAGAAAGGTCTATTATGGAACTGTGACATTTGGGCACAGTCATCACATACAAAACCAGCAAACCAGTCAGAAGGGTTTGCCCTTACAATCACAAGACTTATCTCAAACACCACCTCATTATGCTATCAGGCCAGGGATATAACTCATTTCTACTTCTTACCGAACACTTTCCCCATTGACCATAAGAGGTCATCTGCAGGTGGGACCCCAGCATAGGATTTCCATCTGATGCCCCAGACTCAGTAATATCTTGATTCTTACATAGTTTCTCCCTTTATTCTCATGTTGTATGGGCTCAGAGCAGACTAGGTCAGCAACACCAACTCAGACAGGCAGTGTCCATTGGTGGCTGGGACCGTCTTCTGTCTTCCCTGAATACTGTGCAGCACATAAGCAGTCATCTCAGGCTCAGCTTTCCTCAGCAGTGGAACATAGTGATAATTGAAGAAGAAAATGCTAGGTACAATGTTGTATTCATTTGAGATTGGGCTCTAGGTATATTGATGAGGACTCATATCTGTATATGTGATGTGACTCATATTCTGTATATGTGATCCATAGATGTGTGTGAAAGAGAGAGAATGTATACATACAGGAAGGTACATTTATAACAATGTGCTTGTCTGGAATTTTTTATGACCTTAGTGGAATTTAGTTTTCTAGTGTTCACTGAAAGCTAGGTGGGAGAATGGTGGAAAACAGTGGCAGTGTGACAAACATAGAGGTCTGGCAAAACAGCAGCAGAGTGGATATGCTGGGTTTACTTCCTCTGCATATTCACAACCGTTCTGCAACCATCCTAGGCTGGGTAGGTTCATCATCTGTTCAGGCAGTTTCAAAGAGCACCTTGGAGTCATTGGCATCATCCCCACCGGTGGAGAAACAAGCCAGCAACTTGGGCCCCTCTGCGAGTCCCCATATGCTCTTCCTTCTCATAGCTGATCTCTGACACTCTCCACTGCACTCTGCTCTATGGTCCTCTGCCATGGCAAGGGCACACTCAGCCTCCTGGCTCAGGCATGCCCACTCATGCACGCACACACCACACTCCAGGTGCTACCCTCAGGCAGGTGTGTAAGACCACAGGTGTCGATCACTGATGCTAATGGTGGGAGGGTAGAAAAAAACCTGGTCATTTCCTACAACAACTAAATTACAACAGTAAATTACAACTGTGAGGCAAACAGTTTTAGGAAAAACTATAATTAAACTGTGTTTGCAGCAATACTGGTGCAATGAAACCCACAAAAGGGAGACTACTGTATAGTCCCTCTGCACTTCGGAGACTAGACACTGCATTAGAAAAGGCAGCACACAGAATTGGCATGCAAGGCAGAAGGTGTGTTACTGGAGAACTAGAGGAATAAGGTACAGAGTAATGACTACTGCCTTGAACCTGAAGTTCCAATTAAGAACAGATGCGGGCCTCCCTGCTCAGGAGTTAAGTCTCAGCACTATCAAGCTATCCCAGCGGCTGTAACATGGAGCCGGCTAGGGAGCTGACCCACATGGCCCAGCAGACGTCTCCCGTATCGCCTGATCCTCCCCTTAGCCATGTATCTCAGTAGATCTGCCTGTTCTGCTCCCCACTCTGTCTCTGGTAAATCCTCTCACCCTCTCCCCTCTGGCCTACATCCTAGCTCTTGTATGCATAAATAAATAAAAATAAATCTTTTTAAAAAAGAACAGTTGGGACATGAATCAGAAGCCAGAGTCAAATAGGATCACCTGTGACTCCTCATAGAAGAGGCTACTATTTGCAGCTATGCTATTCAAAACACCTGCCTTAACCTCCAGAGCTAAGGTCAAGGCAATAAGTGAATGTTCTTATTAACCAGAGCTTAAGCATCTGGTTCTTAGCAACAGGAACAAGGTTAAGGTTCAGTGTAAGGTTCTATATTCAAAACAAAAAGAAAATAATTCCCAACTTGTGGACTTTTCTCAATGTAGTCCTCACCCAGCACTACATCCAATGTTCAACATTGGGTAGAGGTTGACTTGCTAGGAAAAGGGATCACTGTGGATCCCCATCACACAACTCAGGGACCCACGGCGCAGCAGGACACCTGAACATTTGATGCTCACCAGAGATTACATTTCAGTGCCCTACTACCTGGTTCTACCTTCCTATTACCATTTACTGGCACCATCCTCAGCTATCTGAACAAATGCTAAGTCAGCAGCCTATGAATAGACACCTAAAGAGCTTTGCTAAACAATATAGGATTATACGCAGCTTTCTGTAGGGAGGGCAAGTAAATTATCAGGCTTTTCTGCCCTCCCACCTTTAGGATTGATGATAGGTCTCCCTGCAGTCCAAATGCATGCCTGATGGCAGGCACGTAGAGTGTGGGCATATGTAGGTGGGATACACCTGGACTAAGACTGGGCTTATAAGGGCGGCATTATGGGGATGCCAGCAGAAGCAGAAAGAGAACCACCAGAAGGAGAACCCGCAGAGAAGCAGAGGCCATGAGAGAACACCAGAGGGCCCAGAAAGAGTGAAGATTCGCCGGGGCCTAGGAGGCCTGCCAGCCTCCTGGCCTTCCAGCACCTCTGCCTGCCGTGTACCTGGTAAATCCCAATAAAAGCATGAAAAAGCCACTGAGGACTCCAGGACTCCTCCGCTACCCTGTCTGCTCAAATCATAGAGATCCTGCCTGTGGCCTTCCTGCCACTACAAAGGGTTATCGAGTCAATTTATGAAAATAAAAAAAGGAAACTTCCTATTGCAATCCATTAAAATTAAAAATGAAGAGACAGAAGAATCAACTGTTAGAGAATTCTTAATCTAGCAGAACTACAGAATATGCCTGAAGAGGCATTTAAGATGATTAAGGCATTTAAATTATATCATGCTTGCTGAATTAAGAAAAACAATGGTTGATGTAAAACACAAACACAATGAAGACTGAGAAAATGACTGCTAAAACTAGAACTAACAGATTAAAAAAAAATACGTATAAACTAAAAAGTATAGTAGAGGCCTCAATAGTAGATATATTCAAACAATGGGGAGAATTGTAAGCTGAAAGCACAGTGGCAGAGAACACACAAGCAGATCAAAGAGATGAAAGAATTTTAAAAATAAAAATTTATTTAAAGAAATGATTGCTGAATATCATCTCACTGGGATGACTCACATGTTCTGGTCCTGGAAGTCTAAAGAATGCCAAACAATATAAAACCAAACTGACACAGTCCAGGACACATTATAATAAAACTATTGAAAGCCAATGAAAAGGACAGAATTTTGTTTAATTTTTGTATTGAGGTAACACTGGTTTACAACACTGTGTGTGATTCAAAGGCATAGGATCATACCTCCTTAGATGCATGTCACCACATCACACCCATGACCAATGTACCCTCAGCCCTCCACCACAGGAGGATAGAATTTTAGACACATCAAGGGAAAAACAGTAACTGTAGGGTAAATGGAAATTGTCAGGTTTTTCCGCCTTACTGCCACTGGCATCTAAGATCCTCACCTGTGGCTTACACGTGTGCCTGATGGCGGACACCTGGAGTAGGGTGTGGGCATGCGTAAGTGGGTGCACCTAGGCTGAGATGCTGCACTATATATAAGGGTGGTGTCACCGAGACGCCAGCAGCAGCAGAAGCAGAGCGGGGCAGCAGAGAACAGAGCGTGGCGGCAGAGGACCATGCATCAGAGAAGCAGAGAGTGGAAAGAAGCAGAGACAGCTCTTCCGACTCGCCATTTTAGAATAGGGATCTTTGCATCAATTGAGACTGCTTGGAGCTGAGAAATAGCTGCCACCACAGCCAGAGGTGAGCTGAAAAGCCCCCACACACCAGGCACCCTCTGGCTGTCAGTTGGAGCCCAGAGGGAGATCTGGCCACTGCCAGCACAGACTGTGGGTGCACGGAGTGCCCTTCTGACGTGCCATTTTATAATAGGGATCTTTGCTTCAACCAAGACTGCTTGGAACTGGGAAAGTGCTGCCCCCACACCCAGAGGTGAGCTGTGAACACTGACATGCGTGAGTTTATCTTTTTTGATTGCTGAATAATAATCCATTGTGTATATATACCACATCTTCTTGATCCAGTCATCGATTTTTGGGCATTTGGGTTGTTTCCAGGTTTTACCTATTGTAAATTGTGCTGCAATAAACATAGGTGACAGGTACTCTTTTGAATCATGTTTTTGTGTCCTTTGGGTAGATCCCTAGGAGTGGAATTGCCCACCCTAGGCATGGTCATATGGTAGCTCCATTTTTAGTAGACTGAGGAATGTCCAAACAGCTTTCCATAGTGGTTGGACCATTTTGTACTCCCACCAGCAATGTAGGGAGTTCCTTTTTACCACATCCTCACATTTGTTGTTGCTAGTTTTTTTTGATATGTGCC